CCAGATCAGAATAATTTTTAACTTATTCCTACAAATGTTACAAAAACCTAAGATCACATGATTACATGGCTGGGCCTCCTCCTAGATCGCTGAAGCAAATAAGGGCCATGAAGCTTAAGCAACAGTAGCTTCTGGTGAAATTCAACTCTGCCGTTGGAGCCAGACTTTGAGCAAAAAGGAATTAAAGAGAGAAGCTGAGGGTAATGCAGAGGTTTTGGTGCTCCTTCCTTACAAGAATTGTCCTTCCACACTTCCCAAAATCCTGGGAGAAACTTCCTAAGAGTGTTCAAGGGGGTGGCAACTGCTTCTCTCCCAATCAAAAGCCCCCTCTGCCCGTAAGGCAAATCCAGCTTACCAACTGGTCTCACAAGGCTCAGAAGCTAAGAATGCTTTTTACATTTTTAAATGTTGAAAATTGACTATTATTTTGTGACACACAAAAGGTTTCTAAAATTCAATTTTGGTATGCACAAATAAGGTTTCATTGGAAAATAACCATGCCTAGTTGCTTACATATTATCTGCGGCAGCTGTTGTGCTACAGGGTCAGATTGAATAGTTGTGACAGAGTCTGGGAAGTCAGAAATATTTCCCATCTAGCCCTTTATAGACAGTTTGCTGATCCCTGGTCTAGTTATTCTCACCAATTAAACATAAAATTTTGATAACTGACAATAGTAGTAGTGGTATTAATTTGCCTCCTATTAGACATATGCAGCCCTTATTTAATACAAAAACTGAATAGTGTGGTGGTTTCAGATATTGTGACATGCCCCTCGGGGGAAAATATTTTTTAATCACCCAGTCTTTTGTTGTTCCTTAAAGCGTACCCTACAAGCAGTAGGCCTCCTCTTCTCTGCAAAAGGAATATCACTCTAGTTAAATGTAACATAGTAAATAAAATTAAATTTCAAGCCGTCCTGCTGTTTAAAGAATCTCTATGAAAATTCAATCAGCGGCATACTTTTAATTTCACATCATCTGATATTGTTTGGGATTCAGTGACAACAAGCCGGCAGTTTTCTCCACAGTTTTCTATTTTCCTTGAATGTAAATTTTTCAGCTGGGCACTGAAGACCAGGGAGAGAAATCGAATGTGTAATTTGTATCAGTCAGAATTCTGTTCAGCTACATGAAACAGAAACTCAGCTACACTTGACTAAATAAGATTTTGGTTTTTTCCCTCAGTGTAACCTAAGCCCAGAGGTAAGGAATTCAGGGCTAGGATAGCTGCTCAGGATTGTAATTTTTAAAAAGGGTGGGCAGATGGGGTGGGGTGGGTGTGGGAACTCCTTTCTTAACATTTGTTTAGCTTTTCGTC